TTAATTTGCATATCGCCCTGATTAGCCAATGAGAAGGGTAGCGGATGTACGGCTAATTACCATGTTTCTCTTTTATTAAGTAGGATTGATTTCAGAGAGGAAGGGCAGGGGGGAGAGATACATCAATGATGAGAGAGAATCATTGATCAGCTGCCTCCTGCACACTACAGGCCCCACACTGAGGATAGAGTTCACAACCCTAACTTGGAATTGAATTGTGACCTCCTGATCTATAGGTTGCCCATGGAGCCATGCCAGCTGAGCCAAGAAATACTTCCTTGAAAGAAATGTTCTAGGGAATTTAGACCGTATTTTTTAGGGAATAAGCTCAAATTCTTTAGCCTGTCATTCATGATTTAGTATTGGGCCTCTGCCTACCTGATTTTCTTTGACTAGTTCTCCAATTCTGTAGACTATGAGTAATACAGCAGCCCCAAACCCCAGAATGGTAATAAACAGGATCATTGCCACAAGTTCCTGTTGAACAATAACCAAAAAAAGACAGAGTGAGTCACAAGTTAGGTGTTCCTGAGGTACATTCCCTTACAGCAGCTCCCATTTTCATCGCACCCACATGATCAGTCCCTATAGAGTCACACACACACACACACACACACACACACACACACACACGAAAACCAGGAGATGGTTACTCAAGGCAGATAACTCCAACCTTGCAGAATTGAGCTGGAGATGAGGGGGAGAGGTCATCAGCATCTCTGTGCATGAACCTACAGAATACCACATTATGTGATAGAGGTTGCAAAAAAAGGTTTGTGTCCATGAAAAAAGGAAATGGGGGCTTCTTTACTTAGATTAGGATTAAGAAATACATACTGTGGAAAAAAAGGCCGCTATACAGAAGTCATCTTCATAAGCTTTCTGGCAAATATCGATATAAGCCAAGCTGTTCTTTAGGTTGGTGGCCAGGATAAAGATTCCTATTCCTGCAGCTATGACACTGATCAAATTCGCTCCCAGGCTTCCTTGCACCTGATAATAAAAACACTTAGACCTGTTCCTGTACTTGCCAGTGCATTCAATTAACCCATCAACATTTCAGGGTTGGATGTATACAGTAAATTCCGCATATATACAAAATAGAGATTAAAAGAGGAGCTCTTTAAAATGTATTTGTTTATTAAGGATTAATAACTTTCTTGCTAGGACCACATTCAGGAAAGCCCACATGGGCACACAGTCTCTCCTCAAATAGTCTCCTTAATTGGAAAAAAGTCATTTCTATGATCACTAGAGGCCCAGTGCATGAAATTCGTGCACGGGGGGAGGAGGGATCCCTAAGCCGGGCCTGCACCCTCTATAATCTGGGACCCCTCAGAGGATGTCTGACTGCTGGTTTAGGCCTAAACCAGCAGTCAGACATCTCTTTCACAATCCGGGACCGCTGGCTCCTAACTGCTCACCTACCTGCCTCCCTGATCAACCCTAACCACTCTGCCTGCTTGCCTGATTGCCCCTAATCACTCTGCTTTGCCTGATGCCCCTAACTGCTCCCCTGCCTGCCTGGTTGCACCTAACTGCTCCCCTGCCAGTCTGATCACCCCTAACTGCTCTCCCCTGCTGGCCTGATCCCCCTAACTGCTCTCCCCTGCCATCCTGATTGCCCCTAACTGCCTCTGCCTAGACCCCGCCTCCGTGGCTTTGTCCAGAAGGACATCTAGAAGATGTCTGATCTAATTAGCATATTACCCTTTTATTAGTATAGAAATGTCTACACCAGGGGTTCTCAAACTACGACCCGCGGGCCACATGCAAATACAAATATTGTATTTGTTCCTGTTTTGTTTTTTACTTCAAAATAAGATATGTGCGGTGTGCATAGGAATTTGTTCATAGTTTTTTTTTAAACTATAGTCCGGCCCTCCAACAGTCTGAGGGACAGTGAACTGACCCTCTGTTTAAAAAGTTTGAGGACCCCTGGTCTATACTTACAAGGATAAGGCTGGTATGAGGATATTTTCTAAACAAGTGGCAAGGTAGTTACACTTTATAGCTTTAAAATGACACAACTGATATTTTAATGATTATAACCAAAACAAAATAGAGTGGGGAGGAAAAGTCACATATCCACATTATCTCATAACATAAGAGACGATGGCATGTCTCCCTCAAGACTCCTAAAATTCAACTTTTCTTACCTTCTCAAGGATGAACAACAGAATTGCAACTCACCAGATATGTTGCATTTTTCTTTTCAGACATAATTGACAAAAATCCAGAAATAGCAAACTGTCCAAAGGAAGAGAGGAAGCACAGTGAGTCTCTGCCCTTCTCTATGTCCCTTTCACTCCCCCTCCTCCAAATATAGGATTAAGTTGTGGATATTCTACAACGTTAACATTTCAGGTTTTCCATAAGCTCACTATTTTCTTATTCTTATTTCCTATGGAGTGCTTCTCAAAGTTAATGTACTCAGGAATCAAGTGTGGGTCTTGTTAAAATTCAGATTGTTATTTAGTAGGTCATGGAAGGGGCTTGAGATTCTTAATTTCTTCCAGCAGAATGCTAAGATTGACAGGCCATGGGTTACCTTTGGAGTAGCAAGGTCTAGCAGCACCTGCTCCATGATTCTGTCATAACACTACTCTCATTGCTTTGTAACTATTTGTTTGTATGAGAACCTTTTATGTTAGACTGTCAGCTCATTTGAGTAAGAAATATATTTGTGGCACATATATCTCTAGAGACTGGCATATATCATCTAGACATTTAGTAATTATGAGAACGCACATGTGAAAATATTAATGAATAGTATAAGTTCAAAACAATCTCAAAGATTCAGATTGTTTGATGTGTTGAGAGACACTAATAAGCCAAGTGTTTGGAATGAAAAGATAGTAGAGAGAAGTTTCAAATAAAATATAGCCAACGTTCAAGGAGAGTTCTGATCTGGTCCTAAGTCTTTAAATGAGTGACAAACCAATGTGATTCTTTCCTTTATTGATTAAGGTATTACATATGTGTCCTTATCCCCTACCCACCCCCCACTTGTGCCCTCACCCCTAGTGTCTGTGTCCATTGGTTAGCTTATATGCATGCACACAAGTCCTTTGGTTGATCTCTCCCCTTACCCCCCACCCTCCCCCAATGTGATATTTTCTAGACTTAAAATGAGGTGAATGAGGTATAGATACAGAAAATGACATGAATTCATTGAAAATAATTAATGCTGAGTGAAGTAAGCCAGACAGTAGAGAGAACATGCTGTATAATACTCCATTTATATAAAACTCTAGAAAATGCAAAGTAATCTATAGTGACAGAAAGCAGATGAGTGAGTGAGTGCTTAAGGATGGAAAAACAGGGAATATAAGAAAGGAGGGACTACTAAGGGACACAAGGAAACTTTTAGAGATAATGGATATGTTCATTATATTGATATGATAATGTTTTCATATGTATGTGTGCATGTGTGAATATTTATCTAGTTATACACCTTATATATGTGCAATTTATTGTATGTCAATTATAACTCAATAAAGCTAGATATGTTTGTAATCTCATACAGTCATCTAGTTTTTAAATAGTAAAATGATTAAAAGAGATTCAATGAGAAAGCACCTGAAAAATTTTCTAGGGCATGTGAGAAGTTCATCAAATACCTTTGACCTTGTCTCCTCACCTAAGCAGTCTCTTTTCCTTCTCTTTACTAAAATAACTTTACTAATGAGAGTGTTAGAGACATTTTCTAGAATTGGATTTCAAACTTTAGGTTCTATTTTTATTGGCTAAATTTCCCTTGAACAATTTGTTTAATTTTTATTAATCTCAGGTTTCTTATGTAATAAACTGTGTTAAACCTGAAATGTTTAACCCATGGAGTTTTATAAACTGCAAATATATTTTATAATATGTATACAAATATATAATATAAATGTATATAATATATATAATATAAATATAAATGTATTATTATATATAATCTGACTACTAGAGATAAACGACTAGGTAGATCTGTTCTGGGTAAGAGAAAAGCTATGTGCAGTGTTATTTCAGAGAAAATTATAGGAATATACTCACAATTACTGCTCCCCAGAATGGATAGCCTGCTTTAAATGATGAAAAAAAATCTTTCTCAAATTCTGAAATCTTGAACACGCAGTAGACAATTGTTCCAAAACAAAAACACATGAAACCAATCAGAATTTGTGTTACCTGTAGAGAAATGCATAACTCTTGTGGAATAAAAAGATATTTCCCCGAGAGTATATCAATTTCCTTACAATTAAGGCCAAATCTGGGAAATTGCTTTGGTGCCTTAGGCAGCCCTGAGAAAGAATCCACATGTGCTATTTTCCAGCATCCTCTGACCACTCTGAGAATTGATACAAACATGACCTAATGCAGGAATGGCCAACATAATTCTCATCGCCTTTACTCAGTCAGACATGGTGGACATCAATAATTGTCCTTTCCATCTAAGAGAAGATAAAGATTACAAATCCTTCAGAGCAAGATATTACATTAGCCACCAGCAATTGGCCAGAGTTGGCAGATCCTATTTGCCTTCTCATTCTAATATTCATGAGGAAATGCTTCTTTCTACCCCACAGAACCCAGTTGGTGTCAAAGCATCTACTGAATTCTTTGCTCCTCATGAATCCTACTGAGAAAACTGTTGATGCAACCTAATGCTCTTTCCTAGAACCAGTCCTTATTTTAATTGAGGTTGAAAAAAGCTCACTTACCCCTAGGAATTCCAGCTCCCTTTTCAAAAATTCCAAACTCAGACTGACAAGTTGCCGGGCAAAATTACTCCCTTCGGTTCCATTTTTTCATCTGTGATTATCCCAGTATCTTTGAAATGGAATGAAAACTGTGCCAAGTCTTTTTATTAACCCAAGAATTAAACCAAGTTCTTTCCCAATTAATCTGTGCTGATGAGTGAAAATAAAAGCGATCAAACATGTTTACCTATGCATATCTCAGTCCTTTTAACGTAGAAATGTGTGTAGCTATATTTTGTCACTGGCACACCCAATTTCATGTGCCTTCAAAGTAATGGCTTTGAAGAGTTAATTGAATTTCTAATCCTGTTTTCATCCTCAGAGGAGGTTAACTGGAAATGCTCTCCCTTCTAAAGATTTGGAATACACCTAACATTTAACAATCCAACATTGATTCTCAAAGTTCTGTTTTCAGCCTCTCCCAAAACTGTTCAAAGGAAAGTCTTAACATGTGTTCATGTTTGTTATTCAAAGGAAACCTAAATTATCCACCTCTACTGGCCTTCACTCCAAGAACATTCCTTCTAAAGATTTGGAATACACCTAACATTTAATAATCCAACATTGATTCTCAAAGTTGTTTTCAGCCTCTCCCAAAACTGTTCAAAAGAAAGTCTTAACATGTGTTCACGTTTGTTATTCAAAGCAAACCTAAATTATCCACCTCTATTGGCCTTCACTCTAAGAACATATCCCCTCAAAACAGTGGGACAGAATTCCACAGCTTAAGGTTAACAAAGACTACCCAGAAAGGAGCCCAGGGTCATTCTTAAAAGCATCTGTCCTTTAGCACACATCAGACACGGAGCTAGAAACCTATATTGATAGAAAAAACTCCCCTACCTCATACCTAGAATGTGAGCCTCTCTCTATTGTTAGGAAACTTAACTTATTCCCAGCTCACAAGCTGTGTAAAAACAAGGCCCCAAAGAGAGTGCTTGGTGTGATGGGCCTGAGCTGGAGGATTCTGAGGACCCTGCAGACACTGGGCTCTTTCCATCTGGAACCCTCAGGGTTGCCTGACATCTGAGATGGAATCTTTGCTTTGTGCATAACCCGTGGACACAGAAAATGGGGTGGTGAGGATCTGGGGAGGAGGAGGGGGAGGACGGGACCGGGCTAGAAGAGGTTAATGGGGGAGGGGAGAAGGGAAGGAGGAGCTATGTAATACCTTCAACAGTAAAGATTAAAAGAAAAAAACAGAAATAGGTCAGAAGGTAGGTAACATGGATTTACTTAACAGAAAATGAAAAAAATAATAACCTGTGCCTACCTGGAGGGCCCTTGTGGATTTGGGAGAGCAAGATCTGCTCTGCTTCTATTATCCGACTCCATTTTTTTAAATTAATTGAGCTATCCAGTGATGAAGAATATTGTTAATGACAGACAAGCCTTGGTGTGCTTCCTCTCAGGGTAGGCTCTGGGTGGACAGTTAAAATGGATTGGCTCATTACATTAATGATTATCTTTATAGTTAAGACATTCGTCAGACAGATAAATTTACTGGCTGATTAAAATCAACAGGGTTTCTCTTGCTATTTTGAAGAGGGGAAAATTGGTAGCCTACTGAAACTGCTGTAAAATAACTCTGCCTGAGACCAGCAGGATTCACAGACCTAAAAATGAAACAGTTTAATGATGATTGAGAAGGTGAGAAAAAGACACTACAGAACAGAGAGAGCTGTCCTCTACTTGCGTCCCAGTTCAGCCATTTCTAAGGCAGAAGCTCTCCCATGGTACCTTTGAAAAGCCTGTCATCCCTGTTTAAATCATACTTAGGTTCATAAGTAGGAGTATGTCTTAGCCTCTGGATCTCTCCATTCATCTCCCACTTCAATATTTATTATCTTTCTCTCTCTTCCTCTCTTTTGGACACAATGTATCTGGCTCTGCCACAGATGGTCTCAGAAACTAAATAGGCAGAGTTCTATCTGCTGTGCACTATTCCTGACTGACTGAGACAATTTCACACTAAAGATTCCATTGTCCACTAAATTATTAATGATCTGCTGCTTTGATTTTTGTAATGACCGGGATGCGATAGCAGAAACACTGAGGGGCATGGACTTGATGGCAAATCCTATGAGTAGGTCTCGGTAGCATTGGACTGAGCAGTATGTCACAATTAGGGTTAGAGCTACCAGTAAACCAATGTGTTTGTTCTAATTGCATAACTAGCTAGACTATCACAAAACAAATATACAGGTGAGATTCACAGACTTTCATTTCAGTTTAATTATAGACATAACCTTGAATGCCTCTTCATTAAACTGTAAGATACTACAAATTGTACCTCTAATCATCTGGATTGTTTCTCTGAAGTGTGATAAAATCCGAATTCTCCAGGAAACTAAGATAATTATATGAACAGAGGACACTAGAAGATATATGTATTAGCATGCCTTTTGTAACAAAAATTTATTAACTCATGTGCCATCTTCCCACTGTGTCTTCAGGAATTGGTGGACCTGAGCAATGTGTTATTATAATTAAGAAATAAACATCATTCAGTTATACGCTCATCCAAAAAGGACTTATTGCAGCATGTCAGGTACTGCTGGTATCACTGAGCATGCAGAGATGAGTACCGTGGTCCCCGTTCCTTGTCCAGCTCACAGCAGAATAGAATGAACAAATGAGATATTAATGATACAGTATGTCAGAGGCTGCTAAACATTGGCTCAGGAGATTCCTTTCCTCACCCTCAGTGAAATTACACCACCTCTGCTGGAAAAGACCTGAAGAAATGCCTGTTTTGGTATTTTCTGGGAGTATATAATAGTTCATTATGTGTGCAACAAATAATCAGAAATTAGACTTGAGATTTAGACAGGAAACAGATGGAGGATGGTCTTCGGTGTTTGGACATGATGCTATTTTGTAAGAAATTTCAATAGAACCTTGAAAAATGCAAACCTCCAAATTGCTTCATATACCAATTTCCACCAGCACCTTCTTCCTACACTTTCTGAGGTGTGTATTATCTTCTGCGCCCACACTACAGGTCCTTATACCCGTGCTCTGTCATCTTTCCCAATAGTGAACATTGAAACATATGATAAAATCGTTTTGCTTTCTGGTGGGGGCAAATTTATCAAGATGAGTTTTGATCACATGACTGCCTGAAAGGAAGAGATAATTGAGCTAACATTTCTTCCCCACCACATAATTTCCTCCTTCTGACAATGCATTAACACATGCTTTTTATCCACTCTCCATCTGGCTTCCTCTTTGACAAGCAACGGTTCTTTTCTCACTTACACACTAGATTTATTTCCCCAAACTCAAAAGAAATTTGCTTTCAGATCACTTCTGAAGAATTGTTTTCTCAAACTGAATGTTCAAATTATTTAAAATAAATATGCATAAATTTGCATGTTACACATTGAAAGTGTACTATCTCTTCTGATACTCTCAAGGGTATCTCTCTCTCTCTCTCTCTCACCCTGAGCCAAGTATGAATTCCATAAATATGGGTAAGATGCCAAGGTTAAGAGAGAGTCTGAGACTAACTGATATCAACTTCCTAATGTTCCACAGAATTGACAAAATATTGTTCACAGAACGAGGGGTGGTCTTAAACGGCCTAGTGCTGAGTCCAAACTTGAACAGAATACCTTTGTCTCTTTACTTATATGACCTCAGAAATGCAAAGAGAAAGATTTATGCAGACTACCCAGGTGTTTAATATCACTCTCTGTTATGTGCCAAACTCCTAACACAACACATAGCACATAGTAGGCACTCCCTAAATGATTGTCGAATGTACTAAAAAAACAAATAGTTATATATATAACTATTAAGGAGAGATGTAAGAATTAGTAATGTAGAAAGATCTTTTCACATATGGTAAACAAATAGATAAAAGCAACTTGTGGGTATGGAACTTATAGATATTGTGGATGATTCAGTTCAGTTTCAAGAGAGGACAATTTATAGATCAGATATATAAACACTTCAGCAGTAGATTTATAAATCAGGAGCCAGATATATCAGGAGCTTTAACATCAAATTTCCACCTTAAAAAGAAGGCCATTGAAGTCATCAGAGGGTATGGGGGAGCCACAGTGGAAGTGTGAGGCTTTGTGCCATCTTCCTTGAATACCTGATCAGAGACCCAGAGCAACAACAGCAAGACCAATGTCCAGGAATTGTGGTGCTGTTTCCTGTTAGCTTTACTTTTACTTCACCCTCATAAAAACCGTCGAAATAGTATTTGCTACTATTATACTTACTTTACAGATGAGGACAAATAGGTCAGAGAGGTTAAGTAACTTGCTCAAATTAACACAGTATCAGAATGTGAACCCAGATCCATGTGACTTTAAAGCCCTCATTCTTTAGTTCTCTGCTTTGCAGTTTCTCACCATACTTTGAAGAATAAATGTTGACCTTGCTCTCAAAGTCCCTAATCTAAATCATGATTTCTGTGTCAGGGCATAGCTCCTTTACTCTTGTGGTTACATGAAATCCATTGGTAATAGATTAAGGAGGTGGGAGAAAGCAAAGTGGGGAAACACCTGGGATTGGATGAAAAGTAAGATGTTAGAAACGTATTTTTACATAGATGGGTTCAGGATAGTTAACAGTCAATGATTAACTCACTAACAATAAGGGGATTTGTGGTCTCTTCAGAGCCATGCCTGTGCTTCGAGGGGTCCAGAAAAAGGGAAATTACTTTGACATTACAACAATCTATTACCAGAAATGCAAAAAGAAGATAGACAGGCTCAGTTAAGATAAAGATGGACCTTTGTCAGGGAAGATGCTGGCCTAAGACGTGACTACCCACCATAAATTGCTTTTATTTTAAAAGTTTTAATTTCAGACCATTCTTTGTGGTTATTTTTGTTGATCCTCATCTGAGGATATTTTTTTCTTTGATTTTTAAGAAAAGTGAAAGAAAGGGAAAGACAGAGAGAAACATCAACGTGAGAGAAACACATTGATTGGTTGCCTCCTGCATGCCCTGATCAGGGCGTGGCCCATAGAGGAGCCTGCAACCAAAGTACATGCCCTTGACTGGAATAAAACCCAGGACCCTTTGGTCTGCAGAATGACACTCTATCCACTGAGCCAAACCGGCGCTAGGGCCTTTGTGGTTACTTTCGGTCTCTGTGTTTGCAAAGCCACCACACAGGCCTCCCCTGAGCTTGTCAGGTTTAGAATGTGGCCCCTTTTCAATCACAACTTTTAAAAATAACTATGAATAACAGGGAGAATTTTCAGCCTTCAGGTAAAATTAACTATGCTCTCTAATATGGTCAATATAGCTTTTTCTTAATGGAGGAAATATTGATTTTTTTCCCCAAGAACACACCAGTGAAATTCACTCATCTCGCTTTCAGTGTGTTCT